ACTGTAATATACTTTCTTTGACAGTGTGCAGGGCCAGTATTTCCTCCTAAAGACACTGTTGCAGGAACCAATAACGATTTTCTTAGGCATGTTTCCTAGCCTAATAAAAGAACTGAAAATAATTAAGTTGAAAAATCTGGCTAAATTGTGATGTTTTATACTTTCATTTTAAGTATACTTTCCGTGGTCTTTGTAAGTAAATTTATTTTTGCAGAATATACAAGTGACTAAAAATAATTCTTTCAAACTATAGATGAGATGAAGCAAAAGGTTTCACACACTCTTATAGAAAGGATTGATCGAACTCATATTATAAGATTTTTGAAGAAAATATAATGTAGTTTCTAAAATGTTAAAAGAACATGTATTAGAATACAATCAAATGTAACCTAATCAAATTTTTCACCCTCAATATGTTTCTTCTAATTGATGAATGAGTTTACATATATCCAACCTTGGATGGCGAACTCTTCCACGGTTTGCATAATGAATCAAAGTTTAGTACTATGAAATGTTGAGAAAAAAATTCAACCAAGGCAACACAATATTGTGATACTATTTCTCCATAACTTAGGCATTACATTCACTTTTATAACTCTATGCATTCCATAGGATACAAAACCAGTCACATTAATTACCATCTTTATGACATCTATATCATACTATACTTAAAGAAGTGAGCAATTTGGATGCCTGACTTCGAGAATAAAAATCTTTTGGACAACCCGTGTTTAGTATATTGCCCTATCAGAAACTCAGTTTAACTTAAAAAAATGGTTCTCAATTCAATCATACCCAACATTCCCTTTTAATAATAAATATTTTGTAAAGCCTTCTTGACTATACTGAAATGACATCTATAAATAGCACAACTTACCCACATACATGAAGCAAAAGGTGTCAGTGCCCCACCCATATCTTCCTAGAACTCATCATTCCAGTAGCTGCCCCCATAGCATCCTCCAGCAAATACCCTGATGTAACTCTGCCTGAACGCTTTCTCTCAGCCTGGACAAAAAGCAGACAAGAAATGCTGGGGAGTTAATGCCCCAGGAGCAATCTTCAGCCAAGCACAGGTGAAAGTTTAATATAAATAACTCAGCTCTCCTCACCCCTTAGATGGGACAACCTCTAGGCATGTTCTATGTGGTTTCCCAGAACTCCCGAGCAAGACTAAGCCTCAGCTTGTCCACAGTGGTAATCTGCTTGATACTGTGACTCTTGGCTGCTTTCCCTTCCCTTTCTCACTTCCCCACTCCTCTGCCAGTGCTTCCTGTCAGCCTCCTAAATAAAGCACTTGTACACAAAACCTTGTCTCATATTCTGCTTCCAGGGGAATCCAAATCAAAACATCAATTTTAAAAAATCAATATAATGCCATAAGTGTAATATAAAAGAGAGATAAAAAGAAAGTGACATAGTAAAATTCTGTTTCAATATGTAAAGACTCAGGCATGACTACATGCTGCCTAACGCAACCCATAATGAATTAGGCAGCACATAACGAAGTAGTGAGATAGTCATTTCCCTACTTGGAATCACCATGAAGAGAACATCTGCAAATGCAGACTAAAACAGGTGTGATGTATTGCCAACTACCATAAGTGGCACAGCCATCAGGGGCATGATTTTATCAGGCACACCTGGTAAAATTGTGAGCCTATGAAGCACAACCTTTCCTTAATTTTCATAATAGTTCAGTAATATATGGAGAGCAAAATGACTTTTTATGTACCCTGCTGTTTATAAATAAGTTTATACTTATAGGACTACCCGCCACCCTCCCTCAAAAAAAAACATTAAAACCTTTTGTGAGGTAATAGACAGTTTCTCAACGTACACCTGGTCAGCCTACATGGTGCAATATTCCTGGCCCAGGCCACAAAATGCTAGTGGCACAGCAAAGGCAAGGAAAAGGGAACAGCAATGTGGCTAAAGTCCCTGGTTTTCGCCTTCCTCAGTTTAAATTCCATCTTCACTTTTTGTTAGAAGTAAGACCTCACGTAATTGATCTATCATCATTCTGGCTCATATTCCTAATCTGTAAACTGGAAGAAATCACATTCTCTAACTCAGAATTGTTTCAAGATTAAATGAGTAAATTATAGTGTCTAGCACAAACTGAGGGTTAAAAAAATATTAGCTATTCTTATTACTATATTTCATGGCTAAATAATCTCTCTAACTCAAATAATCTCTCTGACATGGCCACCAGAAGACACAAGTTGTGCAGTATGTAAAAATATGGGTTTAGGTGTAAATTCTGTTTCCCAGGCATGATCTTTGAATTTACTATCAATCCATGCTTTCCCTCTTCCTTTTCTCCGCTGTCCATCTTTAGTCACTTGTCATTTCCAGTAATAATAATCTTATGATGTATTACTACAGATTTTGTACCCCTATTCCCAATTAGGAGACCTTATAAAAGGCGTGTGTAGGGACGAAAGAGGAAGTTTGGATATAGCCTTTCCCTGGCCCCTCTTCAGCTAAATCAAACAAAGGCAACTAGCTAGAGAATTTGAATACCAAATGAGATGATATATAAGAATTCACTATTGTAAACTGTAAAGCACAATGTAAAAGTGCTATTGTTCTTGTTATTTATTAATAGTATCATTAGTCACACAGCTGTTAGAACTCCAGCTAGAAAAGACAGAGACTTAGCATCATCCTTTATAAATGAGGTAGCTGAGAACAGAGACTAGATGCTGCCTAAAACGAAATGGGAAAAGATCAAACTGACGGCTCCACAGAAAAGGATACTTTGAGATGAAGAGCTGGCTGGGAAATGGTGATATCAAGTTAGGCAGAGGAGTGGAGGCAACAAATTAAAAGGTCATTTTTTTGTAAGGCTGCAGAAGTCTTCTTGAAGAAAGGACTGCATTGATTGATATGGCCTGTAATGGAAACTTAGATAATGAAATAAAACCAGCATTTAAGAATTTCAGACTGAGAACTCATTGCCATGGCAACCCTCTCAGAAGGGAACTTGTATAAGAAAATAAGATTCACTTGACTAAGCCTTAAAATGAAAACCTACACCACAGTGAAACAATTACATGCAGAATTCCAAAACTGTTTATTGCTGAAATGCCTAGAGGTAGTGCTGAATTTGTTGGTCTATCATCTCTTCCATTGGAAGCTATTACTTCTCAAAATCTATGACTCATAGAGGGAACATCATCTAGCTTTGAGGGGTCTCTTTTAGCATTGGGTGTTTCCTACCAGTGAAGATTTACAACTTTTTTTTCCACTCAATAAATCATCTAGCATGATGTTCATATGATAATCACATTGGTGCATACCATTTAAACAAATGCCCAACTTTTAGTCTGTATATAACCACATAAAACTACCAAATTAATATATTAATTATTAGTTATACTTTTCATGAGAAATAATTTTTCACATAAGTAACATCTAGTTCATATTCAGCTTATGATAACTTTAATAAAAACATGTATTTTATTATTACATGTTCTCACTCAAAGAATGTCAGACTGAATTCACTATATTTTCTCAGTTAAAAGGAGCTTTCTTGAATACCTAATAACACTGACCAATGTGAATCTATGCCTTTTAATTGATGCTGAAAAGAAATAACTGGGATCCTTTTAGAATGGTATGGATTAGGTTCCTAAAATGGAACCTGGTGGTAGAAAAATTTGCCATTGAAGAATGTATGATCATATTGTAAAAGAGAGAAACAGAGGTCAATAATAACATAAAAACAATTCCAAAATATTTCTATGCTCACATACAAAAAGAATGTAGGCAATAAGATATATAAGATAATATCTATGCCATCCTCTACATCAGCACCTAGTGATAATGGATACAGTATTATATTTCCATTTACCAGCCCTTGCTCAATAGGAATTTTCTCTCCCATCCTTCAACCCTACATTCACCCTTGAGGTTTCATCAAATTTTCAACAGTAAGAACAATTTCCATATTTCCATTTATGTATATTAGGTAATACACATGCAAGAGGATATTCTGTATATGTGTTGTCTCCCTTCAATTCCATGACACCCTTTCCATTTTCTCAGGACTTAGCAGTCCCAGAAATCAAAATAATTCAGTTGCTTATTCTATGAGCCTGATTATTCATTTCTCAAGTCACATGCATTAGAATACGGTGGTTCTAAGACCTGGGCTTGTTTTTTTGTTTTTGACATCTACCTTTATCTTCCCTAAGGTTTTCTGGGGGAAAAAAAAAAAAATCTGCACTCTCCTTGACTTTTCTTTCATTTTTTTTTTTTCCTATTCCCATTTCCAGTACATTCTATTTCTAATTATCCCTTGCATGGTGCCTTACATTTTTTTCTATACTGGAATTAACATTCTCAAGGTTGTCAAGAATGTATATAAAAGTAAATTTACATATATTTGAATTTTGCCTAAGGGGAACTCATGTTTGGAAAAAAATATCTGAATTATATTGGAAGTAAGTTGGAAGCAATAAAGTACTTGCACAAACTAGTTCTAGGAAGCTTGATATATTCTCAGATATTTTTTTATCTGAAACTATGGTAAGATTAGAGCAAGAATCATGATTAAAATTCTAAATTTAAACATTTGCGGTATTAATAAAGCTACCCTAATTCATAGAAGAGTCAAGAGAGGTGCTACTGTAAAATCAACCATTAGATGTATCAATTAATTTGTTTTTGTTATTTTACAACCTAAAGCAAACATGTGAATATTCACAGAAAAAAAAAAGCCACCAAAATGAGTGGATAGAGAAAAATATATAAGGCAATTTTAATCCTAAATTAATAAAATGAATATTATCTTTTCATAAGAAAAATTTTATCCACAAATACCACATCCAACAACCAAATAACTACCTTATTTATAGATAGTTATGTGTGATTATCACTTTTCCCTCTTCCTTATTTAAAAAGTGTCTCCTTTTAGCAAAAATGGCAGATAAATGAAATTTATCTGTATCCCACTTTGTTTTGTTTCTCTCAATCTCATGTCAGTCTCCCTTTCAATTCTCCTTCTCCCTTAGGCTGAAGTGCTTAGTACTTTTATCATCCTCTAATTTATCCTGCCAAAGTGAAAAGTAATTTGATAAATTCCTTCATATTAAGGTATTAGAAAATTAATTATCTGGTGTTCTCATGAGTATTTTCATTTTAAAGGAAAATTGCAGAGAAAGAACAATTCCTGACCATCATAAATTATGTATTAATTATAGAATTTCAGGCATCTGTGGGAAGATATTTAAAAGTGATGAGAGAACTAGCAATTACACTATTAAGTCAAACAATGGAAAAGATGATATTGTCTATTTACCTATCTGGATGGTCAGGAGATAGAAGCAAATATACATTTGAAGACAATCATTATATTCTCTGGGTCTTAGAAGATACTTAAAAACATTTTGATACACAGATATCTATATCTATATTTATTAAATAAATAAAATCATACTATTTGTTTTATCTCCAGTAAAAAAAAAAAATTGAAGAATATATTTTTTTGGAGAATTAGAGTAAGGTAGTTATCTCCAACCCCTTCTGCTGTGATCGTGTAGCCTTCGATTTAACTTTGGCAGAAAAGTGGTGCTCATCAAATATTTCACTTGTGGACATTTCCCTGGCCCCCTTGAAGGTAGGCAGGGGTATATGAATACTTCTGACCAAATGAAATGGAAGCAGAAATGATGTGTATCGCTTCTAAGCTGAGAAGGTAAAAAAGTTCAGGCATGAACTTGCAAAGTCTCTGTTCTATGGCTGAGGAGGTTGTCAGTTCCAGATAGAACAGTTATGAGATGATGTCATGTCCAACAGCCAGAGCCTCTGAATGTAGGTCACTGAGATTTTGAGGTTATTTGTAGTTGCAGCACAGCCTAACTGTGCTCTGATCCAGACCAGTATATTCCCATTATGGCATTTACCATATTGGCTTATAGCTACTTTGTTACATATCTGCTACTCCATCTTAACTGGTTACTTCTTATTCCTTGTTGTAACTTTGCTATAAAACAAAACATAATTGAAGAAACCCTAACAATAGGAGAGTATTTTTGAAAAGTTAAAAATTAGATCACAAATTTAAGATAGTTACATGTGGTGACAAGATTATAATTAAATTTAATTCAATTCAATGTATCTACTGAACAATAAAAGTGTGTGGTATGCTATGTGCTGTCAACACAGACATTAGTTGGTAATATTAACAATAATACCATTAATTAATACAAATGAGATGTTATTAATGGGTGCTATTTTTACAATGTTTCTAATGAGCTAGCCTCTTCTTATTTATTTGCTTTAAAAAAATCATGAAAGATGTTAGTGAATTCATTAGCAAATTATCTTCAGGTCTCAAGGTCCATATTTCCCAAGTGGAAAACTTCTTTACATAACTAGTTTTCCAAGCATTTCAGCCCCATGCCTTTTTAAATCAATAAGCCGTATTGACAAAATTCTAATTATTCTCTCCATGTGCACACCTGTTTTGATTTTCCTTATTTTGCTGTAGAGAACAAAATTAGTCAACTGGTTTAGTAGTTTGCTTTGCTCCATTCTCTTTGAACTTGAGCTTTCTCCTCTCAGACAGAATAGTCTTACTCACTGATTAATTTTCAAAGAGAAATATTTTTAAAAATCAGAGTGAAATAAAATATCTACCTCTGTTAATAATCATGCAAAAATTTTAAAGTCTGTATAACTGGCTTGCAAAAAGTTTTCTTATTTTAAGCAAACTCACCGACGTACATGGAAAAAGTCACTTCATAACTATAATTATGTATGAAAATTACAGCAACAGTCAAGCTTATCTCAATGTGTCTGACTCTCAATGCTCCTTTATGAAAATAATAAAACCACTCCTTTTGTGAACTCCCAAGCAACACTGATTCATTCATCCTTCTAAGAAGTCAAGTGTTTAACTATCTTCTTGCTCCACAATTTCAGCAAGTTTATACTCCATGTGAAAAAAGACCCAAGGAATTCTTCCCAAATTAACTCACTCTTGGGTTAATAGTGTAAAAATAGCACCCATTAATAACGCTCTCATTTTTCTCATAGTTTTATTTTCCTTGTGTAATTGAGATGTAATAAACATAATACATGTTGTAAAAGAAAAGCAGGTGAATAAATACCTCCAAATCCAACTAGAGAAGACTCCCTTTTATCTCAGCCCACTGGTAAAAAAAAAATAGATTAAGTCCACATTTTCTAAACTCTCTGTCTAAATTGATAAAGCTTAGAAGGAATGTGGCATACCCAACTACTGAGTACTAGTTTAGGAAGAGGAAAATAAATCTAAAAGAATAACAACTGTCAAGTAAAAACACACACAGTTTCTTCAAAAGATAATGGCAAAACGAGTGAAGAAAGTAGATGAGATGGTTCCAGTTTGGGGATTCTAAATTGTTCATGATGTTTTAAATTCCAAAACATCATGAACAATTTAGCAAATATTTAGGGCATATGAAAGAGTGGAGTCATGATAACCAATAAACTACATCACTTACTAAAGATCCTTAAACTTAGTTTTCAGAATTTTGGAAACGGTTGGACAAGATCGATTTCTAAAATATAAATGCTGAAAAAGAATAAGAAATAAGGAACATAAATACTTACAACTGATCGAATGTTATTTTCTTTCACCAGCTTCAGAGATGATTTATAGCAATTTGCAAGGTCTTCCTTGTGGGAACCATTAATATGGCCTCTTGCTATTGGCCCTACAGTATGGATGACATCTATAAATGCAAAAGGAAGGAAAAATAGGATAAGCAAGATATTTTTCACTTTTCACATAATTGGTGCTTTATTTATGTTAGGTGTTTGTGTTGGAGCCTGGAGACAAACAAGCTAAGAAATACTGATGATGCGAATACTTCTCTGGTAAAAGACTTTACATAGTACAGCCTCCTAAAGTAGGCAATTTTCAAGGAAGGTGATAATTGTGAAAAGTAATCCTCTATCAATAAATTATTCCATCGTAATTGTCCAGATCCAAGTGAGACATATTATAATATAAGATGTGAATAATTGGCACCCTGGGAAAAGACAAAACTTTATTAGGAAATAAACGAAGAAATAATTGCCTGAAAAATAAACGTTCTGAATTGACATGGGGAGGAAGAACCAATGCTATACGTCACTTCACTTGTAAATAAGACCATAGTTTCAGGCATTGTACACAATAAACAAGGGCAATTTCTGAAAATATGCCAAGAGAATTTATAATAATCAGCAATAACCTTGAAAGAAATAATTTTAAAACATTCTTACCAATTTTAAAGTACAACCTACCGATTCTTACATACATGAGGAGTGCTAGGGATAACAGTCCCAGATAACTACCTAATTTCTATTTTTTACTCTAGTGAAACTTTCAAAAAGCAATCTATACTTTTCTACCTCTACTTAGGTTTAAAACATAAACCTGATTTTTCTTTTGGCATATAAAACTAGCCATCATGATATCTTTTTAATATCTACACATACACAAACTTTTAAATTTTGAATCATAATGAAAAAGAACTGTCCTAACTTTAAAGTCAATAAAGAGTATTAAAAAAGTGAATTTTAATCAAATTAGTTTAAAATGCCTTAAAACTCCTGCTTTCCAGTCTTATCTGTTAATCTGGATGATTAGCCCATTTCACTGATGTAAGTAACAACAACTAATAATCAACTTTGATAATTCGCTTTCATATTGTTAGAACATTATAATGAAATGAAATTATTCATGTTGGCTACTTAGTACCACTTAATTTAAAAAACAATGATGAGGGAATAAAAACAAATTACAAAAATTTGACTGTGTTATAGTTTTAAATTGCATATGAAATTTAAACAGCAGAAAATAAGTCACTAAGAAAAAAAAAACTTTGTAGATTGCTTGCTAAATGTCAAGAGTATTACTTGATTGATGTTTGAGAAAATCCCCCAAATAGCAATTTCAACTTTTACTGTAAGGCAGTATCAAACCATTATCGGATAATATTAAAGATGATATCTTGTGATCAAAATAGGCAGCAACGTCACCAGTGAGCTCATGCAGATATTATTTCACAGGCAAACGTGGTTTTAAAAAAGTGAGAACTGCTATAATAAAATGAAAGGATAAAAGGGGATTAAGTTGCATTTATCAGAAAAAAAGTACACGATTTTTTTAAAATAAAAGTAACGAGTAAGAGTTGCATATATTGAAACGATACAAGTACTGTATCCTATGTAGTAAAGTTTTATATATTTTACAGTAGTTTCTGTTTTACATGAAGAAGATTGTAGTTAGATTTATGTTCCCCTTTGTGGCTACTTGTTGTTTGTGCCCAGGTATGATAATTTGACAGGGCAACATTTCCCAAAGTGAGTTTAGTAAGATAATGGTTTAATGGTCAATTAAATTTGGAAATCACTGGGTGAAACTAAGTCAAACCAGTTACTTTCATGCAGGATCTCTCTGGACATTTAGTGTCTAAGGGTACATTTTGAGTCTCCATCATGGGGATAACAGAATGCTCTGTTTCTTAAATATGTTTGACTACTGAAACCTGTGTTTTGCAGAGCACCTCATGGGACAAAGTTTCTGCAAATTAATCTTTGGGAAATGTTCCAGGAAAATTTGACATCCTCATTGCATTGCTGAAGGTGAAGTCCATGTTTTCGTTTTTGTTTTTTCCCCTCCTTCCCCATTGCCTCTGTACATCAGACACTTAACACCGAAAGGAACAAAGGGCTGTGAACTTGGTTTTCTTATTTTATGGATGAAGAAGCTCAAGAATAAATGCCTGTTACCTGGGGCCATAAAGATGTGTCTACTTGAGCCAAGTAAAAACAAGGCTTAGGGGCATGAATGGGGAGAAAAGAGAGAGAAAGGAACCCATGAGATCAGGAAATAGTGACATAATAAACTTTTTTCTTGTTTTTTTTTTTTTTTTCTCTTAACCATCAATGTCCACATAAATTAAATAAAATTTATGAAAAATTATTCTTTGCATTTCTTCAGTTCTCCATTTAAGTTAAAAGTCTAATAACCAATAAACAAGACTCTCCAACACCAAAATATTAATCTCTGTATTTTATGCTCTATACTACATTTGAATGTCCAAGATCAAGTGTTATTACCAACCAACACAATGACCTCTCAGATCTACAAAGCTGGAGGTGAGTCAATGTGATGCTCGAAAATAAATTCCCTTTGTTATTTTAATTGTTCATAGTCCATGTGAGTAACTCTTCTACACCAAGGAGTTCCTCTTTTTCTGTTATTATAAAATTCAATCAGGAATCCTGCCTTCTAATTCCATCTCCAGGCCTTACTCACTGAGTACCCCAGATGAAGCCATTATTTTATTGGTCCCTGCCTTGGTTTCCTATCTGCAACACAAATCAGCTACCTTGATTATCTCTGTGGTCTCTTCTGTGCTGTGTGGCATTACTAATATTTAACCTGCTAATGGAGACAGATGGAGTACAGAATGATGCCTGTAACGTTAAAGGAAACCTCAAACGTGCTTAAGTGGCTCTTGAGCCTTGTGAGTATAAGTATCCATTTTTAATATGAATAACATTATAGACCTCTCTTTTACAATAATAACTTCAGAATTCATTGATTGAGAATAAATTAGGGACAAACAGCCATTACATCTTTAATGATGCTTTGTACTAATTTATATTTCATTAAACACAATAGCACCTTCACAGGGGTTATATATATGTGACATATATATGGACAATGCTTTATTTTTCACATAAACGTGTGGATCTCATGGCATATATAAGATGATGTAAATATAAGTGTTTAATTTGATTCCTGGTGCATGTAGAGGCTCAAGAAATGGTAATCATTACCACCAGCATCAACAGCAGAAGCCCAGGTATCTTGAACACATAAGCAGAAATGACAGAAGGAGGCTCTTCAACATTTACTGTTATATTTTTATCATCTCTGCTCTGGTATGGAAAGAACACTAGACCATTAGATCTAAGATATGATTATAAGTCAAAAGTCCCAGATCTGTACTAACCAGTTGTGTGACCTTTGCAAGTCATCCTCCTCTTTGCACTTCCATATTCAAAGCAAAAGAAGGAGTTGAATTAGACGGCCTCTAAGATTCCTTGCTGCTTTTAAATATAAGTCCTCCTCTGCACGCCTGTGAAGAATCGATCTATATATTCTAAATAGTCTCATTCTTATCCAGATAAATGAGCATCGGTCATGGTTTAAATTTCTCAAACATGCTTATACAATGAAGTACAAATTGGCCCCACCCCCAGAAAGAATGTTTTAACCATAGCTATCAAAATTACAAATGTAGACTCCTTTTGATCCAGTAGTATTATTTCTCAGAATGTATCCTATAGATTATATGCTTACTCATATGCAAAATGTCATTTAAACAAGTCATTCACTGCAACATTGTATATAATAGACAAAGATTGGGAAGAAACTAAATGTTCATCAGTAGGGGACTAGTAAAATAATTGTACATTTATACAATGAAATATGTTATATGAAAAGGACAATGAAGGCCTTATGTATGGATGTGGAAAGATATCATAGACATGTTACAAAAGAAGGAAGGAAGGAAGGAAGGAAGGAAGGGAGGAAGGAAGGAAGGAAAGGAGGAAGGAAGGAAGGAAGGAAAGAAAAGAAAAGAAAGTAAAGAGTCTATGGCCATGCCACCCTGAACGTGCCCAATGTCTGATCTCGGAAGCTAAGCAGGGTCCAGCCTGGTTAGTACTTGGATGGGAGACCACCTAGGAATATCAGGTGCTGCAGGCATTAAAAAAAAAGAAGAAGAAGAAAGTAAAGAAAAGAAAGAAAAAGATGCAGAGTAGTATGATATTAGCATGCTACATTAGTGTGAAAATATCATAAGTGTTGGAAAGAATACACATTTGTTTTAGCTAATCCCTGCATAAAACACCTCTGGAAGGATTAACAAGCAATTAACTAATTGCTTGTTACCTACTAGAGGAGTAGTGAAAACTGCAAAGATGGAGGCAAATATGGGAAATAGACTTTTTAATATTTACTTCTTATATTTTTGATGTTCAAATTATATGAATACATCTTTTATGCAAAAATTAAATAAAGTATTGAAATAAGGAGTATATGGCTTGTTAAACCATGTTTCTTTATCCCATTTACTGCGATAGGTAAAGACTATTGATGTGCTTTTCAAAAATGATCTTATATCACAATAAGTATAAAAATACTCTTAAGAGAGATATAATTCCAAAAGAGTTAACAGAATGACTCCACTAGGTGTATCTTTCCTTCGTTTTGCTACTCTCAATTATCTCACGATATAAAAGTTATTTTCAGATAAAAATAGAATTTAAATGATAGACAAAGGGACATTGTTTTCATATGTGGCTAGTACCTATCTTTAAAGTTTTACTATAATTTTAATATGCAAATTGAGTACTACATACCTTATGGTGGAAATGTAATACAAGGATATACTTCTTAGGTATCTCAATGACCAAAGAATTTTGAATAACAGTCAAGAAGTTTAAGAAATTAAAAAAAAAACAATATAGACTACTTAATCTATTTTTTCTTATTCAAGAGATGCAGAGAGGCAGAATAATATGCTTAAAGTCACAGATCAATGTGGGAAGACACATATCACATTGACAGTATGAATAAACTTTTCCCAAGGTGACTACTTATTGAAAGAAATGACACACATTTGTATATATAAATTTCAGCACGTTTATCATGAATTCCATTATTTGA